GAAGCCTCGTATTAGCCCGACAAGCGCCGAGGGGGCTGCGGCGGAGGCGCTCGCGCACTAGCTCTGCCTCCGCCGGGCCGCGCGCCGCACCTGCTCGCGTTAGTACGGTCTTCTGCCGCGAGGCAGCGTGACCGGCGCCTCCGGACCGGATTTTTATGCACCAATAATCTATGAAATATGTATGCATTTATGCCGTAAAAACTTCGAATGCACTAACACTCTATGCACTAACTATTCTTAACATCACACATTTTAAGCATACTGTGTCTAATAATCACTCGAATATTCCGAATGGCTAAGCCGCTGTAAGCACTAAAAATTGGTTTCAAAGAATGCTTTCTAGGCAAAAATGTACATACCAGAAGCATAGTAACACTCTGGAAATATATTACAATATTGTTTATTATTTACAAAAGAAATGAATATATTTGTTTGGAAAGAAATAATAACCCAAAAATTAAAAAAAGAAGTAGTCGGATTATGTAAACTGAGTGCTTTTCTATTTCTGTGTATTTTTTTCTTTCTGAAGAAATATATTAATTTATTGTAAATAATAAACAATTTACATGTTCCTGGAGTGTTCAACCATCCGGAATATGACAGTAGTTTATTAGACAAAATGTGCTTAAAATTGTCTTTTTCTGTCTGTATTCTTCTCCTTTTACGTTCTGTTTTCATCACATAAATTAACTTCACATTAAATACTCGAAACGAAGTGATTCTCTTGTTAAATATCGAGCAAAATTCAAATAAAGAATATTGATATTAGGTACAATCAACCACAAATATCGAAACAGAAATACGTGCTAATTAAAATTTTTTTTCAACAAGAATACAGTAAATTACGGTTTCAAACAAAATATACAGAATAATGAGTAATTTGTAAAAAATGATGCTTATTAGAAAATAGGCACACGAGAGGGGGTTCAGGTCGTCAACGGTTGTCACTGCAGTACCTCTGACCGGGAGGTCCTGGGGTTCCAGCCCTGGCGGTGGCAGGATTTTGGACTGTCGCAAGATAGCTAGGTCGAGTTCACGTTCTGTCTGTTCTAGTGGCCGGTTGTTCTTAACGTTAGTTTAACATGTTTTTTTTCGATCAACGCCACGCGAATACCGGAGCAGTACCCAAACAAATGGGTCACGGACAGCGCGCGATCTTTCCTTCCACTTCCTCGTACTATCTTCACCTC